CAAGGTCCCGAGTTCAACCCCCAGTACCAAAAAAAAAAAAAGCTAAAAACGCAAGGACCCAAGCTTGATCCCCAGTATCAAAAAAAAGTATCAATGATATCACATGCCTATTAGCTCAGACATAAGTTAGCAATTCATGGGCTGGGGATTTAGCTCAGTGGTTCCAGTGCCTGCCTTGCAAGCGCAAGGCCCCAAGTTTGATCCCCAGTACCAAAAAAAAAAAAAAGTTAGCAATTCATAATGGCATCTTCACCAAGAAAGCTGGAAAGTATCCTTCCCACCACCAAGCCTAGGAATAGCGATATCTCTCTAACTGAAGAATCAGTGCCTCTTTTCCCCCAATAAATTAAGTTCCTGGACCAGTTAGCAAATCAGAACACTAACGCTGATGCTCCTGATAGAGATGGCACCCCAGTATCTGTTTCTTGGGGTTCCTACAATTCCTCACTATGAAGCACAAATCAATAACCACATGAGGGAAAAAAATAATCAACAGGATATGGTGGTAATCAGGTCAGTGTTTGCCCATACACCACTCTCCCTAAACTGCCTGGCCACTGCCCTGAGCATCTGATGTACAACTCACTGTCCTTACCCAACTCTGGTTGGGAATGATGGACAGGTCAGCACTTGGGACTCAAAGAAGAGGGACCAAGGAAGAAGCATGGCTACCCAAACACTGTTGACCCTTTAAGGAGCTGGTAAGGTTTCTGCAAAGAGCATCTGGCTCAGCCTACCCACAATGGGGGAAAGGGATTACTTCTGATTGCTATAGTCAAACTACCCTTCACATTATACTTATTCTCGGGCCAGGGATTTAGCTCAGTAGTTCCGGCATCTGCCTCAAAAGCACAAGGACCCTAGTTCGATCCCCAGTGCCAAAAAAAAAAAAAAATTATACTTATTCTCTTTATATTTATGCATTTATATAGATTTTTCTGGTAAATAACGGCTACCACTTATTGAGCACCTGAAAAATGTTAAATCTATATCTTGCCATAGGGCAGTAGTTCTCAAACCTTAGTTTACATCAGAATCTATATAGAACTTGGTAGTAGAGCCACATATCCACAGTCTACAGAGTGAGGCCTTAGGGTCCACATCGCTAACAAGCTAGCTGATGATAAGGATGCTCTGGACCCAGGGTCCATCTTAAGAACACTGTCACAGGAAAATAGAGATTCAGGGTGTTTTGGAATCTCTGTCATAGCACCTCTGCTGGTAAAGAACAGATCCAGAATTTGAACCTAGATCTGTTTGACTCTACAATCAGGGCTAACAACCACACTACAGTATGTGGGAATGTTGTCTTGTCATCCGAAACTTATGAGCAGTGCCTTATAGGCATATATTACAATTATATCTCTCTCATCCCCTTTCAGAACTTAGTAGTACCTTTGGACTTCACAAGTACTACAAAAATACTTTGTATACTGACCCTTACATATTTACATACTTCAAACCCCATAAATTCAGACTCAAATACAGTCAAAGAACATAAAATGGGCAGCACCCCAGACCTGACGTTATAGGATACTCTCTTGCTACTCAGTCTTTGCCCATGCAGCCACCCCACTGGGTAACTGCTACTCATTCTTCAGGCTTCTTCTCTTGTAGAAAACAGTTCTTGACTTCCTAAAGCTGGGGGCCCAAAAAATAAATAATTAAAATAAAATTCACTGCCACTGCACGCTACTCTTATCTCCATGATGGTATTAATTACTCTGCTACAAGTGACCAATTTCTGTCTCTTAAAGTAACTTATAAACTCTAGCATCCAGTTTAATATCATGCTCCCAAAGCCTAACACAGTGCTTGGCACATAACTGGCACTCCATAACTATTTGTTAAATGAATATATAAATGAAGGAATGCAGAGGTACAAGTTCTACTTGAGTTTCACTTGAAAATATCATAATGCATGATGCGCAGTTCTCAGGGATGAATTCCAGGGAAGAAGAGTGCAGCCTAGATAACAAACACCAATTTGCCTTTTCTCTTCTCCATCACTCTTCTCAGACTCAGAGAACGGACACCAGTGAGGGCACCACTATCCTTTATGAGACACCACCCTAGTTGAACAAAATGCTCTGGGGGTGTAAGGTCAGCAAAGACCATGAGACAGGGAGGAAAGAGCTCTGTGCCCCCTCGTTGCTCCTCTCTCTCACACATACTCCTTCTCCCTTTCCCCACCCCACTGCAGTCAAGAGCTTTGGCACAGGGATGAATGAGACAGATCAGACCCAAGGGTAGAGATCTGGCAGCGGGCACAGAAGCATCTTCCATCCTGCACCAAAGACTACAAGGAAAGATCCAGAGGGACAGTGACTCAGGCCCCAGATGAAGTCCAGCCAGAGTAGTGCTGAGAATGAAAAAGAGCAATAATTTCACAAGGACAATAACTGTCGGGTTGGTTATTTTTTAAATAAGTGTTTTCCAAGTACTGGTTTCAACCCTACTCCAAAAGAACTAGGCCCTGTTGAATCCAGTGCTTGCACAGGCTGAGAGTCAAGCGGCTTCTCCCTCTTCTCAACCCACCCACCAGCCTAGAACACTTACCATGACAGGCATTTCCTAGGCCCAGGTAGGGACCTTTGCTTCAGTCTTAGGTTGCAAAAGGTTCCTTTTCAAAAGGGCCTCTTTGCTTTCTCTCTTCATTAGCTAACAGAATGTTCCCTACCACCATACTGCAGTAATAGAGGGCTCCCCCTCCCCAACCCCTCACAGCCTATAACACAACCTACAGCAGGTTGGCCCCATCCAATTAGTTTGAATTGCTTCATGCCAAGGAAATTGCTGCTTTTATTAAAAATAAAAGCACACTAAGCCAGCAATGAGCTGTGAAAAGTATGAGTCTGGCATAATTATGAAGGTCGAGGTTAAGGTTACCAAAAGAAACATGCAAAGATTTCCCGAAAGCCTGGAGAATAAAAATATATTTCCACATACATAGTGATACACAAATGAACACACACAAGAGGGCATTTACACAGCAGATCTAAACATCTTCTTCAATAGAAGAAAAACAAAATCAGAGCCACTCTGAAGTTATCCTTAATAAAAACTAAAACAAGAAGAGTGGCTTACGAGACTGAATTCAGAATAATCACATTCATTTCATCTGATTTCTGTTATTTTAGCTACATCCTGGGGATCTGATTACAGTTGGGCTACAAAACAAACCCAGTCAAATCCACCAAGAACCTTGACTCAGACAAACACATTCCTATTCCCTGAAAATCTTTTCCTCTCAATGTCTACTTATGGAAGTGGGAAAGTTGGGTAGGAGAAACCCATCTCTCCTCTTCAAGATCCCCCCATCCCATCCTTCAGCCGTCACATCAATATTTCAAGTTTTATTAGATAACAAGCCCACCACCCAGCATTTCATGTAAAGCTTTACACTTTCACACATCCAATTTCTGTCTGATCCGCATAATTCAGGGAGGGAAAGACGAAGGCTTCTCAATCCTTTTTTTCTAAAATAAAAAGCCACTGAGGTAAACAATTTCAACAACCCCCACCCCACCCCTTTATACTCTGTCACTTTCCAATCTCAGTTTAAATCTCTCAAGGACAATGACTCACAGGGACAGTGAAGGGGGAAGGGTGGGTCAATTGGTCAAAACCCATTCATAGATTCAACAACTAGACACCAGAGTCTTGCCACATCAGCACAAGATTTTAATTTACGGCGCACTGAGTTCCATCGTACCTTCTGCCAACACCTCGTCCACAGTGACCTGCTGTCGCCCGATGCCAAAGACCCTTCCAATGTAGCCACTGCCCAGACCGGAGGTGCTGCCCCCTCCTCCGCTGGAGCCGGAGCCCAGGCCAGAGCCGCCCTGCTCTCTCCGGGAGTCGAAAAACTTCTTCATCTTGCAAATAAGAAGCAGCAAAGCAAAATGCCAATGATTTCTAGATTTTTTTTTTTCCTTTTTTAAGAAAATAGATCTAAAGATTTCTTCTCGGATTTCAGCTCGCAGAGAAGCCAACCCGAATCCGGCCTTGGGGGTGGGAGCTGAGGGAGGAGGATGCCTATAGGAATACGCGTGTCAATCGCGCGGCGGGTCTCCTCCTCCTCCAGAGAGCGATTCGTGTAAGTTTAAACCTGTGATGACAGAGGCAAAGAGAGGATGAATCAGTAACACACTTAAAAATTCAACTGACTCCTAAGGGTAGCAAAAGCCATCATCCTGGGGAAACGCTTCATGCATTTTCCCTAGCGAGAAAAACCCTGGGTTGAAAACGCATCCCCGCCCCCAGGACCCCAGATCCCCGTGCCCGGGGCTAGGATAAAGGAGGGATTCGGGCCGCCCTAAGCAGCCCCGACCCTACCAGGCACTGCCTCCCCCGCCTCCCGGGTTCCCCAGTTGCCCCTCCAGGCAGCATCCCCGCGGCACCCACTTGAGAATGCTCAGCGGCCGGCGCCCAGTTACCAGCCCCGCAACATTGTCACAGCCGCTGAGCCGGCCTGCGACGCGGAGAGGAGGTGGCGCTGCAGCCAGAGCCGGGGCCGCGATCGGCGCCCGCCAGCCAGCTGATCCCCCGTGCGCCCGGCGGAGACTGACCCGCCGCCCCTCCCCCGCGCGCGCTCCCGCCCGGCTCCATCCACCCAACCAGGAAGTGAACCGCCGCCGGAAGTGCCTCTTGGAGCGGTGCGGCCCGGCCCCGGGGCCGCTCCCGCGACCGCCACTCTGTAGCGACAAACGGGAAGGAGCCGATGGCGAGAAGAGGACCGGGAAAGGGGGTCTGGGAGTTAGGGGTCTCAGTACAGAGAGAGTCTTGGAAAAGAACGTTGCTATGGTCCGGGCGCAGCACATCCTGGGAAAGGTAGTTCAGCGCAGCCGGGGTGACTGTACTACAACTCCCAGAATGCTCCTGGAAGAGCGGGAGCGGCGTCAGCCTCGGCCTCTACGGCCTGGAAGGTGATTAGTGGGGTGGTGCATAAGTGGCGATTCGGTTATTTAAACACATCCGGTAAAGAAACTGCAAGGGACTAGGTTTTACCCCTCCTGCGTGTTCCACCCTTCTGGAGCCATCTTATTTGTGTCCTGGTCTTCTGGCACAAGGAACGCTGGGGATTGTGGTTTCCAAACGCATCAAGGCTGACACCTGAAGGACGCAGCTTAACCATTTTGCCCCAGATTGGTCCTTAGGGGCATCGCCACGTCACATGAGGACAAGGAGGACGAGAGAGGGGATGGCAACATTGTGCTGACCGCTGGTTCGGGCCACACCGGAACGCCGGCCCTAAAAGAAAGAAAATCCGTGCCTTTTCACCCCCCAATCTCGAAGCTGCTTTTTTGCTCGAAGGTGATGCAGAGTCAACTCTGTCTTTATCCCTGAGCTAGGCGCTGTGAGAACGCCAGGAAGACAGTGTCTGGTCCGGAAATCTACGGACGAGATACCGACCGACAAACTGCCGAAGACTTTGTGTAGGGCAGATCCCAAGGGGACCAGGAGACAGCCCGTTGGCTCGACCTCAAACTTTGGGGCTTGTCATCCTACAGTGACCTTTAATTCTTCCACCTTTGTTGACGCTATGGGTGGACCTAATCCTCACTGACCCCCTTCCACACGAGAACCCTAAGCAGACCTGTTATTTCTTTAATTCGCTTCAAGATTCTTCCCTTGATGTTTTACCCAGATATCGCCTAGGGGGTAGGGGGAGATGATTTGCATCTGTCAAAGGTGGAAGATTGGAACGCGGTTGGTACCCATAGATCTTCTGGTAGATGATGCTGAAGGTAGTACTAAATTCCTGCCCCCCCCAATCGATAATTTTTCTAGTACCTGAATATAAGTTACTGGTCACGTCCACCAGCTCTCCCCACTCGCTAATGCTGTGACAGCCTTGTTGGCTTGTAATTCATCCCAGAATTTCTTCAGCAAGCATTTAAAGAGAATAGAAAAAGGTGCCCCAGGAGAAAATGGTTCTTGTTTTCTCTAATCTCAATATTCAGCTGAGTTGGGCTGGGCTAGTGGTGGCGGTGTAGCTACCGTTGCGGCTTCTTGTTTCAAGTAGTGCCATTGTAATTAAACTCCCTGTATAGATAGCATCTTTTCTTCCGGAGTCACAACGTTGCCACCGCAGTTCACAAATTCATGCAGCCCCCTCCAGGGTGAAATGCAGCACCTACTAAAACATTCCTTCAAAGGAAGCCCACAGAGGCATGTTCTCTGCACCTTCCTTAAAAGGCTAGATTTTTGTCTAAGGAAGTTTGAAATAGCTCTTAAAATAGATGAGAAAGCTCATTTGGTATTGAGCTCATTGGCCCCCATCTTTCTCAGCACGTGTTAGTCTTGACTGATTTTTTTAAAAGATCTGTCAGGTCATATATCCATTAGGTCCTGTTGTTGTATCATGGTTTTTTTGGTTGTTTGTTTTGGGGTTTTTTTTGGAGGGGGGAGTGGTTCCTAGTATTCGATCAAGGCCAGATTTGCATGAATTTCAAGTCTCACTTCAGGAATACAAAAACTTCCAATAATATTAACGTAGCTAACATGTATTTATTGTATACCCACCTGGATACTTTGAACAGAATCTGAGGAGGGAGATTTTAAAATAAATTTTTAAAAGCAGAAGACTGGCTTCCTTTCCTTCCATTCTCTGAGACTAATAGCAATAACAAGTCTACGGTTTTTTTACATTATATAATAGGTTATTTAATCATCTAAACTTTTTGAAATAGGATACTATACTATACTCATTTTAGAGATGAGGAAATGAAGCACAGAGGTAAGTGACTTACTTGCCCTAGGTCACACTGACAGTAACTGACTAGTTCTTGAGTACAAAATAATTACAAATCAACCACTATAATCTTGAAACTTCTACACTTCCTTTCTGTATAATTTACCCCACTTTGGCTTACTTTTCTATTCAAGTTTCTATATACAGTATATAACCACCTCAATCAAGTACACTGAAGTCAGAAACAAGTCTTCTTCTTATCTCCTTAACCATCAAATGCAATATAGAGTGTGTTTTACCAATTAATTGACTTCAAAGTAACAGTGACACAAAATAGGAATCTGAGGTGGAAAGATTTAAGTATTCTACATCAGGTGAGCTTTTGAAGTAGGTCTAAGAGAATGTGGATAAATTCCTGATTTAAAAAATTGGGAAAGGGAACTGAATTTACTACTGTATATATCTTCCATATGTGAATTACCGTACTAAAAGCACTTAGCATATTACTTTATTTAATCTTCATCCTTGCACAATGGATACTACTATCTGTTGCATCAAAGTAGATAGACACTGTTATACATAGTATTATCCCTAACTTTATAGATGAACAATAAAATTGTTTTTATTTTTTTGCGATATTGGAGATAAAATCTCAGGTTCTGTATATATTACACAAGCACTCTAGCACTGAGCTGCACCCCCAGCACTTTTCACTTTATTTATTTATTTATTTTTTTTTTGGTACCGGAGATCGAACTCGGGGCCTTGCACTTGCACAGCAGGCGGCAAAACCTCTGAGCTAAATCCCCTGCCCTTTATTTTTTGAGATAGAAGTGCCGAGGCTGGCCTCAAACTCGTGTTACTGCTACAGGCTCCCAAGTAGCTGGATTTATAGGTGTGTGCCACCATGCTGAACAATGAAGATTTTGTTAGTAACAGATGGACATGTATGTCTTGTTAGAGGTAGAGGAAATGATAGGACCTGTGGTGTAACTAAATCATGTCACCATAAACTCACTTATAGAAAAGGTGTGCTGCATCTTCAGAGGAAGTCAAAGATAAGAGCACCAACACTAACTAAGGACTTTAAATAAGTCAGGTACTGAGTTGGATATTCAACCATATCATTTAACTTTAGCAATACACCTATGAGATGTGCATTAATTTTATCATAGTGGAAGAGACTAAGCAGAGCTCAAGTATGTCACCTATTGCTACGCATGGCCTATACAAAGGCCAGAGTCAGAATCAGAACCAGACAGACCTCAAAACTTACGTCATTGTCACTGTACCTCATAATCACTCTGTGTTGCTGTCTTTTATCCCAGCAGAATTTGTTAGAAATGCAAGTTATTGGGCCGGGGATTTAGCTCAGTGGTTCCACCGCCTGCATCAAAAGCGCAAGGTCCCAAGTTCGATTCCCAGTACCAAAAAAAAAACACCATTAGAAATGCAAGTTATTGAGCCCACCCAGACTTACTAAATAAGAGGGTAGTAGTCCAAGAGGGCAGGAACCCAAGGAATTCTAACAAACATTCAAGTTTGAGAATCACTGTTTAGCAGAAGAGAACTTGTTAACAATCACTCTTGTCTTTGTATCTCTAAAATGTACCAATAAATTTAATAAGTTTTTCTCTTTTTTTGGTACCGGGGATCGAACTTGGAACGTTGTGCTTGCGAGGTGGGCAACAGAACCACTGAGCTAAATCCCTGGCCCAAAATTTAATAAATTTTTAAAAATAAGAAGGGCTGGGGATGGAACTCAGTGCAAGGGCCTGGGTTCAATCTTCAGTACTCTTAATAAGCCTCACAAATTTACACACAAACACACTGGGCATGGTGGCCCACACCTATAATCCCAGCACTAGGGGGGAGGCTGAAGCAGGAGGATCCCTGGGATTTCAAGGCCACCCTGGATTACATAGTGAATTCAAGGCAGCCCGGGCTACATAGGAAGATTCTGTCTCAAAAAAACAAAGAAAAATGGCAGAAAAAACAATATATCTTGGTTTGGTTTTGTTTTCTGATTAGAAAAGGAATTGTATGGTCATTATGAAAGAAGTACAAAGAAAAAATTAGAAATTCAGCTGTAATTCTACCAGAGACCACAGTTATTGACGTTTTTATTAATTTCCTTTTGAGAATTTTCCCCATATATCAATACATTTTAAACCTTATTAAATTGTACTGTATATTTGCAAGTTATTTTTTAATAGTTTCCCACATCATTATATATGCTCTAAAAACAGTATTTTAATGGCTGTTTAATAGTCAGTTCTTTTTTGTTGTTGTTGTTTTGAGACAGAGTCTCATTATGTAGTTCAAGCTGGCCTTGAACTCAGTGGTCAGTTCTTAACTGCCAATTGTTTTTTGTTTTATTTTAAATTTTTGGTCTCATGTATATGATTAGACTGAACATCCTGTTATGTGCTAGTTTGATTTTTTTTCTAAGCCTATGTTTTTATAAATGGAATAACTGAGTCAAAACATGAATGTTTTAACAGCTAGAGAGACAGCATAGCTTCCAAGATAGTTATACTGATTTGTTTTCCACTCATTGACTTAGATGATATATATTTTATTAAGCACCTACCATGTGTTAGACACTTGAAAGGTTATTTTAATCAACAAAAGATAGACTCCCAGCCTTCAAGGAAGCTTTGGTCTTAAAAGAAGGCTGGGGCTGAAAATTTGGCTCCGTGGCACCATGCTTGCCTCACAAGCACAAGGTCATGAGTTTGATCCCTGATACTGGGTGAAAACAAAATAAAGGCATTAAATCCTAAACATATCCATACTCTGACCAACTCTGAATTTATGCTGTTTAAAAAGAAAATCATATTTTGTTAGAGATGGTGCTTATT